AAATAATAACAAGGAATAAAGTATTAGTAGAATTTCTTATTCTGAACGTTAATTATATTTATATATCGTTAAACTCAACATCAGATATCGCTATTATTTATTTATGCCTTTTAGGTGGCAGTGTTTCGAAATACCAAGTAATAAGATATAACAACTAATATAATAAATAAACATAATAAATAAGTAATAAATAAGTAATAAAAGAAACGCGTATTAAGAAACATTAAGTAATTGCTATAAACATTGATAAGCTTCGTTCGTCAGAGAATCTTGCCGAATTGTCCATTTTCGTGTCCAATCCGAGCGCGAATTAGGGAGACGTTGATGTTACGTTCATTGGAATAGAATTCCGAGCGGAGCCCGCATTCGTTTCTCGAGCTCGCAACGGTCGCCGACGGGAGTTACATTTACGTACTGTTACATTGGTTTCCCAGAAGGGTTCAGAGGTCCCGTTGTTGTAACGTCTTCGACGCCGCGCCGTGCTGTCGCGGCGTTGAAATTCATGGTAGCGTATCGGGACAGGAAATGAAAAATTACGGAACAATCGATCGGCGTCTGCGGGCTGACCTCTTTAACTATGTTATCAAGTCGCCCGGTCGGATTAACAGCGGCGGTGGCAGATACCCGTCGTGAATCTCACACACACACACACATACATACACACAGAGATACACACAGACACACATCGGTTGTCCATTCCGCTGTAAAACAGCGCTGCCGTGAACCGTCCATTATTCAATTATTAGTTATTACAGCGCGCTAAGGTTAATTTTTACGGGCTTTCTCTTCTAGTCGCCGCGGACTTTCTTTCTCGTCGGCGGCCTCGAAAACTCGCGGACTGCAAAATTAATTCAACCCCGTTAACATCGAAACTGTTTCGCTGGCGATTCTCTTTCTCGCCGCTGCTTTCGTAGATCTGCTCGACCCGTTGACGTATTATTTATAATAATTTCTTGATAATTTCTTAGATTCCTGATAGAAATACATTTAAATCGAATAGTGAAGTTTGGATTAAATATTTAAAGTTAAATCAAATAATTGCATTTGAATTAGATAATTAAATTTAAATTAGTAGGAATAGGTAGATGGATAAATTGGGATATAATTGGGATAAATTGAAGTGTGTTAATCACAATGGGCAATATTTTGAGCATCGTCCACGTCTAAGATAAGTTAATTACTATCTCATTAAGTATTGGATTTTGGACTCATTATTATTATTATATTATTATCATAATTATTATTATATTATTATTATTATTATTATTATTATTATTATTATTATTATTATTATTATTATTATTATTATTATTATTATTATTATTATTATTATTATTATTATTATTATTATTATTATTATTATTATTATTATTATTATTATTATTATTATTATTATTATTATTATTATTATTATTATTATTATTATTATTATTATTATTATTATTATTATTATTATTATTATTATTATTATTATTATTATTATTATTATTATTATTATTATTATTATTATTATTATTATTATTATTATTATTATTATTATTATTATTATTATTATTATTATTATTATTATTATTATTATTATTATTATTATTATTATTATTATTATTATTATTATTATTATTATTATTATTATNATGGTAGATAATTTAAAAATCGATGGGGTCAAATTTAACCCCACGGGGGGTATGTTGGGGTAACGTAATGCAGCAGTTTCGAAAAGTTCCAAGACAGGTTCGAAGTTCGTAGAATCGACCGACGGGCTCGAAAAGTCTGAAGTTCCTTGGCTCGAAGCGCGCGCTCGTCGGTGGTGCAGTGAAAGTGAGACGAGGAGGCAACAATAATCCACACACGCGACACTGACCTCGTAAGCGGCTGAATTAGCCGAGGAGAAAAAAATGTATATTAAATTTCGCAAGCTACCGGAGCCACCGTGCGGCCGTTATCTCCGATCTCCGATACTCGGTATCTTTTTCTTCTTCTCCTTCTTCTTCTTCTTCCCCGCTCGTCCTTTCTTTTCTTTCTTTTTCTATTATTCTTTCCTGCTATTTATAAAACCGCCGTGCCGGCGCGCAATTTCCGTCGTGAATGGGCGCCTCGAACGGCTCGCGACGACGAACGGCACCCGCGTCCGGTTGAAAACTGCGCGAGCCTTCTGTGGATGCGGTGGAAACCGCATGCGTCGATAAAAATCGTGTTCCGTTGTGCACACCGGGACTAGGGTTACTCATAGCGCGCTAATGGAAATCCAGAGATGTTGGACACTTTCCCGCTCGAACGCTGGGAACGCTGGCAAGTAGGGGGGACCGGGGGAGGGAGACATTATGATTTTTTTTTTGGTTGAGAAATCGTAAAAATTCATCGAGAAATAGCGCAGTCACTTTTTTTCGTTTCACAGTTATTTATCGTGTTGTGCGGAGATATTTATGCTATATATTTGTACTATTTATACTATTTATGCTACACTATTTTTACTATACTATTTATACTATTTTTACTATTTGTGCTATTTATACTATTTTTACTATTTATGCTATACTATTTATACTATTTTTACTATTTGTACTATTTAAAGTACTTATGCTATACTATTTATACTATTTATGCTATACTATTCACACACACACACACATACTATTTATACTATACTATTTATATTATATTTATTCTATACTATTTATACTATACTGTTCATGCTATTTATACTATACTATTCATACTATTTATACTATACTATACTATTCATACTATTTATACTATACTATACTATTCATACTATTTATACTATACTATTTATATTATACTCTTTATTCTATACTATTTATACTATTCTATGAGTGACGTAAATTGTTATATTGAAAATTGTATATATTTACATACAATTATATATTTTAGTTATATATTTAAATTCTTATATAACAACGACAAGATCGCTTTCATTTAAACAGTCTACGAAATCAATTTAACCCGTCATTATGACCGCGTTTAGTAGATTCCGGTCGACGACCTCGATCATTAAACGACAAGAAAAACGAACAAATATAAACTAGAAACCCGAGTAGAAAAGGTTCGATTGTTTGATCAGGCTTGATCTCCATCTGGACGGATAACGGCTCTTTTTTTCGGCGTTACGTAGCGAATGAAAATATTTGCCAGGGTCGTCGAATAACGCGGGCACCGTGGATCGCGGGGCCCCGGGGGACGCAAGAATCGCCCCATTGATCGTATTCCCGTGTAAACAGCGCGTGCACACAAACGGCCGAGATAGGGTTGCCGCGGCGCGTGTAAGTCAGTCGCGGCTGCCAATAAATCAGGCCGGGCTTAATGGATCGAATAAAAAGGCAAACAACGTGATTCATATCGGGGACCGGACGATTCGGGCAGTGAATTAAAAATGAATAACCACGTCCATGAGAGCCTGCGCGAACGCGTTTTATAGCATCGGGGCCCAGGGGCGGGACCGCAGCCGTCGATCGCGCTGTTTTTCGCCGATAGCTTTGACAGAACCAAGCCGAATCGTTGTTTTCGGCGACGGATCGGCACCGGGCCCCTGTCGCGGGGCCCGGACGGGTCCGTAGAAACGTGCCGAGCGGCTTCGAATAGATTAGGAACGGGTTAAGGCGCCCCGTTAACGGCGCGCGGAAAATAACAGATCCAACGGCCGGTGTCAAACGAGCAGGCGCGCGGATCTCGGCGAGAGAAACCTGTTATTAGGCGCTGACGGAGCGGCGCGGCTCATTTACATCACTCTCGATATCCAATTATCACCGGCGCGGTTGCTCGAAAGGCCCGGCAGATAATAAAAAGCGCATCGACGGCCGCGGCGTCGTCGGTCGCGTCGCTCGCCGCCGCGGCTCGCGCATTTATCGCAGCGGGCCCGGCAAGGCCCGGCGCAACGCTTATTATTAATGGAACAATTAGCGTCGCGGGTGTTAAGATGCTATCGGCGTCTGTTTGACTCTTTAATCAGCGCCGGCGTGCCAGCCGCGCTCGATCGTGCGCCGCGGCCGCGGAGAATGTCAGCCGGCCGACCCGAGATTCTTGTTAGAGATGTGTCCGAGGACGCTAATTACCCGATGGAAAATTCGAGCCGGCCGCTTTCTAAGACGCTCGAGCGTCTCTCGCGCCGGTTTTCACCGTTCGTTTGCTCAAAAGTCGCCGTCCTCCCCTCCCCAGCCATCGATTTCGCGCGATTTTTATCGGGATTTTGGGCCGCATACGCAAAAGGATAGCGAAATTAATTCAATTAAAATAGGAAATTCTGCAGCGCCCAGCTCTTCGCCAAACGACTTTAATTTTTTTTTTAACGTTTAGAACAGTTTTCACGGGCTGAACAGTATGAAAATGAAGACAGTTTGATTCTGAAGATCAGAATTTCTTCAAGACCGCCATCTATGCGTTAAAATCTCGTTGGGGAAAGCGTATCGAAGCAGACGGAGCATATTTTGATTAAATAAACAGCTTCTGCAAAAAGATTCGCAGTTCTATACAGGCTGTCCTAAAATTATGGTATTTCTGGAAAGCGAGGAGTTCCTGAGGTGATTTGAAGTAACTTTTTCCTTTACAAAAATGTTCTACGAAGCTTCGTTTACGGGTTATAGAGGAAAAACAACGACCAATGAAGGGCGAGCTCGTCTGGCGCTAGGCGGCGAGCCAGTGGGCGGAACTGTGCTTCGCGCGCTCGTTGGTCGGGCCGCTTCGCGCCAGCTGCGCTCGCCTCTCATTGGTCACTGTTTTTCGTGAATAACTCGTAAACGAAGCCTCGTAGAACATTTTTGCAAAGGAAAAAGTTGCTCGGAATGACCTCAGTAATCTAATTTCCCGGGAGCCTCATAATTTTGGGGCACCCTGCGTACGTGTAGTCACTTAAAAATCCGACATTTCGCCACTGAATTTCGACGACGAATCGGCTCCGATTTCTCGCACGATCTCGCGATTTGATTTTGTTTGCGCGACGCGATGATTCCACTCTCGATTAACCGGACATCTGGTTCTGATTGCAGCACGCGAACAACGTGCGAAAGTCGGCGGCGGAGTACGTGGCCCGCCGTCAGGCCCGCAAGATCTCGATGACACGTTCGATAACCTCGTCGCTGGCGTTGCCGATGAGCCAGCTGAACGACGTGGCCTTCCTGCCGAACGCGAAGGCCGGCACGTTCTTCGCCCGCGACAACGTCTCGAATTTCATCGGCTGGTGCCGGAACAGCCTCGGTATCATCGAGTGCCTGCTCTTCGAGACCGACGACCTGATCATGCGTAAGAACGAGCGCCACGTGATCCTCTGTCTGCTCGAGGTGGCGCGGCGCGGCGCGAAATTCGGCATGTTGGCGCCGATGCTCGTGCAGATGGAGAGGCAAATAGACAGGGAGATCGCCGCCGAGAATAAGGCCGCGAACGGGGCGCACGGGAATTCCGGCAACGAGGAGAGCGACGACGAGTACGCCGACATGCACCAGGAGGAGCCATGCCTGATCTACGGCCCCCAGCCGCAGATCGTTACCAACGACCTGAAGAGCCTCGACGAAATGGTGAGTCTTCTTACACTTTCTTACATATCTTGCTTACACTTTCGAAGCTCTGGTAATTGTCTTTTGGTGCTCGCGCGTGCTCTTGAAATGTTTCTCGTTCAAACTATAGCGAATTCTCTCTAATTGACGCGCCGATTGTGCGCCAAAGTGGACAGTTTGGGAAGAGGAGATACGACTATTCGAGCCCTCTGTCTCTCGCTTTTATGCTTGCTGACAATCGGCGGCTATAATAAATAATATAATATTATAATATAAAATATATAATAATAATAATATTAATATAATATAATAATATATAATAGTAATATTAATATAATATAATAATAATAATATAATAATATATAATAGTAATATTAATATAATATAATAATAATAATATTATAATATTAATATAATAAATAAATAATATAATAATATAAAATAATAGTAGCTATAATACAGGGTGTCCCACAATTATTTTAACAGCCGAAAATGAGGGGTAGCTGAGGTCATTTGAAGTAACTTTTTCCTTTGCGAAAATGCAATCCGCGGCTTTGTTTACGAGTTATTAACGAAAAACACTGGCCAATGAGAGGTGACGGTGCGAGAGAGAGGGTCCGCGAGAGAGTCCGCAGCACGAGGCTTTGACAGAAGGTCGGGACGGACTCGAGCCGCGATCGAAGTATTGAACAAGTCACAAGGCGAGAACTTTACGGATTTTTTTTACTACATAACAGTGATATTTTTAAGAAAAACGCNGGCTTTGACAGAAGGTCGGGACGGACTCGAGCCGCGATCGAAGTATTGAACAAGTCACAAGGCGAGAACTTTACGGATTTTTTTTACTACATAACAGTGATATTTTTAAGAAAAACGCTGTTTACCTTTACTTTAGAACGTCTGAAGAATATTTACTAATTTTTCGGACCCGAAATAATATGAAGTTTAACCGTGACAGCTGTTTTAATTTTCTGGTGTGCATGACACCTCGTGTGTACCATATGAAATTTTTATGCAA